CAGTTTGATGTCAAAGCAGACGAAGCAATATTCTTGGGTTATTCTCTCACATCAAAAGCATATATAGTTCTGAATAAGAAATCAAAGAAGATTGAATAAAGTTATTAGGTTACATTTGATGACAAATTTTCAAGTCATTTCAGAAAAATGATGTTCAATGTGGAGAAATTTTTCCTTCCTCGTGCTCAAAGACAATTTCGCTTGTGTCATTGTGTAAAGATTTTCTGAATCTATTTTATGAACCTGAAAAGGCAATCTTCTCCGAATCAAAAGTTGTTGACAATCAATAATATGAATTACTGAAATTGGTTGATGAATCAATTGAAAATGTCGAAGTCCATGATGAAGAAGATGTTTCTACACCATTTAATTCTCCAAATGGTCACGTAGAGGGGGGGTATGGAAACCATAGTAGTCCAATCAAGTGAAGTAGTATCCACTTCAACTGTGAATTATATAGATGATACTCATGTTAGAGGGAGAATATTTCTAATAATGATTGTTTCTAGGGTAGAATTTAACTAACGGTGATCGTTTCCAGGGGAGGATTCTATGTTTGATGTTGATGTCCAGGGGGATATATTGGAAAACAATGATAATGATGATCATTTGGAATTTGAAGAAGTTAAATTCTGAAATAATTCATGTATATGATTTGAATTATCCTCTTTTGACTAAATGGACAAGGGATCATCTGAAATCACAAGTGACAGGAGAAACATCAACTGTTGTTCTTACACGAGCACAATAAAAGGAGAAACAAGCTTTATTAAATAAAAATAAAGAATTTTGCATGTTTAATTCCTTTATATCTAAAATTGAACCTAAAAGTGTGAAAATTTTCTCTTGATCATGTAGATTGGGTAAAAGTTATGCAAGATGAATTGAATGAGTTTGAATGAAACAAGGTTTAGTGACTAATTCTGACGCCTTCATATGCATATGTAGTAGGTATGCAATAGGTATTTCAGAATAATATGGTTAAAGAAGGAAACGTTGTGAGGAACAAGGCATTTATCGTAGTTAAAGGGTATTTTCAAGAAGAAGGCATCGAGTACGAAGAGACGTTTGCACATGTTACTAGATTGGAGTCAGTTTGCATTTTTCTAACATATGCCGCTCACAAGAACTTTGAAGTATTTTAGATGGATGTGAAGTGTGCATTTTTTAATGGAGAACTTGAGGAAATAGTTTACGTCGAACAACCACCAGGTTTCGTTAATGAACAATAGCCAAATCATTTTTATATTCTTAATAAAGTTGTATATGGACCTAAACAAGCTCCTCGTGCATGGTATGAAACTCTAACTTGGTTTCTTAAACAATCTAAGTTTAACCAAGGTTCGGTTGACCCTACTTTCTTTCGTAAGAGAGATGGTGATCATTTGATTGTTGTCCAAATTTATGTTGATGGTATTATTTTCGGTTCAACAAATCCTAAGTTGACTGTTGAATTCCGAAAACTAATGGAGACTAAATTTGAGATGAGCTCAATAAGTCCGATTAATTTTTTCCATGGAGTGAATATTAGAAAGATCAAAGAGGGAATTTTCATAAACCAGGAAGCTTTCACGAAGTCCTTACTTACAAAATTTGGCATGAATAGAGAAACAAAGGTGAAGGTTCCAATGATGTTTGGAACCAAGTTGAATCCTTTGCTCTACAAACCAACAGTTGATCTTACATTGAATCGATAAATGATTGGGTCCTTACTTTATTTAACATCTAGTAGACATGACATAATCTTTGTTGTTTGTTATTGTGTGAGATATCAAGAAAATCCACCCGAACCTCACATGACCGCAGTGAAGAATATTTTCAGATATCTTCGGAGAACTAGTTCTTTTGGTTTATGGTATCCATTTAATACTGGGTTATTTGTACATGTATTATCTTATGCAGATTTAGGAGGTTGTGGTCTTGATCATAAAAGTACATCAGGTGGATGTCAATTCTTGGTCGGAAAGCTTGTAAGTTGGCATCGAATAAATAAACATGTGTTTTGTTATCCACTATTAAAGTTGAATATATTGCAGCTATAGCGTGCACATCACAAATTATTTGGATTCAAAGCCAACTGAGAGATTATGGAATTAGTATGACGAAGATTCTATTGTAATGTGATTCATAAAGTGCAATCAGAATATGTCGTAATCTGGCACAACATTCAAAGACCAAACATATTTCATTGCGATATCACTAGATAAAAGATCGTGTAGCAGACTGAAACATGGAAGTTCATTTCACTAGATCAGTGGAGCATTTAGTTGATATCTTTACAAAATCCTTACCTAAAGTTACATTTAATCGGATATTATAAGGGCTTTGATTGATAAAAGTTGATTGGGTTCCGAAATCAACTTGAAAACTTGTGAAACGTTATTGTTCATATGCGAACGACTGCAAACTTCACAAGTCATCACAGTGCGCTTAATTGGTTTTTATAGTTACTCTTCGTTTGCAAGAGGGTGCGAGCCGTCACAGTTCGTTGCACAAGGTAAGTGTACATTTCTTTTTCTTTTATTATTCTCTCCTGCAATGATATGCGAGACGTAGCAACCCGTCGTAGCTAATTTATGTTACTTTCTTTTCGCATCTTGTTTGTGTTATTATTCACTTGAGATGAATTGTGACGTGTCGCTACTCATCGTAGTTGAATTTTTTTATAGTTTAAATGTTTTTGTTACTGTTCATATACGATGACCTGTGAGCCGTCAGAGCTCATCGTAGTCTTAGAATTTTATCTTTTTAATTTTCCTAAAATTTTCAAAAAATCCAAAAATATTTTTCTTTCTTTATAAAAGTTTCAAAAATACAAAAAGATTTTACATCTATTAAAATTTTGAAAATCCAAAAATATTTCCTTGTTTTAGAAAAAATCAAAAAAACCAATAAGAATTTTGTTTCAAGGAATTGACAGTGAACACTTGTTATTCTAGTATACAACAAAGGAATTTATAGGGAACTTATGTTTCACGATGTCATTGATTAGTTAAGTGTCCCGAGAAGCATGTTGAAGTATGTTGTCCACAGTCTCATAGATTATCTTTTTGCGAAGCCTTAATGAAATTTCTTGATTATAAGAATTTCTTCCCAATAAGTTGTATTAACAGAAATCATCGAGCTACCTTTCTCTACTAATGTTCGGAGATTAGTGATGACTGTTTGGTCACTATTTTATATAAGAGGTACTATGATTCTTCTTAACCAATCTGGAAACCAATGACGTCTTAAGTATACATAAACTTGAACATAGGTTTTATTTTCTAAACCTAAATGAATTGATGGTGAATTTGTTTGCAAATTCTAGCATGAAACTACGAATTATCGGTAGAAACAATCTATGTTTCAATGTACCAACATCATTCCATCAATTTCTTTCGTCCATATCTTACTCACATTTCGCATAAGACCCTGAACGTGTCAGGTCAAACCAACTTGAAACATATGGTGTTATAAAAGTTTGTGTGATGATCGTCCAACATTCGCTATGGGTAACGTAATGCACCACCAACCTTACCTATTTTCCAAAATCTCAATTCTCTCGCAAAATCGCACACATCACTTGGGGTCCATTAGGTTTCGGGTTTCAAAATACATGAACCACGACTTCGCAAAGACTAGACTTATGATTATATATCACTTTTACCACGGTATATATGAGGTTCCTATCAAAACACTAATTCTTTCTAAACACTTCTCTCTTAGTTTTCACAGACTTTCACTTAGAATCCTTGAGGTCTCAATTCAAACCATCTTGAACCAAGATTTCACAAATTCTAGTTTATAATTCTGATCATTATACTCGTGATTAGATGAAACTCTTCTTAAACTTAGTTTTGGTTCCGAAAAGCAACATTTTATGAAGATAATCCTGGTCGTAATTCCAATAGACTCTATTTCAATTTTTTCAAAATTGAAGGGTGGATCAATGATTATAAATTGCTGCAAATTGAAATGACGCATTTTCTGATGGATTATAATGATTATCAAACAGTCATCAATTGATGTAATTTTTTTTATTTGAAAAGATGATGAGCTTGAGGTTTCTTATTGGGCCATATTTTTATGATCATTGGCATTGTAGTTTATGCTGACGTGTGAAGATACAGGCATTAACTGGATGAGCTAAAGGTTTTCTCTTTCCTCGATTCAAATTCAAAAAGAACCATTTGGCTTTCCAAAACTATAAATACCCAAATTGTTCTACAATTTTCTCTTTATACTCATAGAAAATTCAAAGGCATTCAAAGTTTTTTCCAATAATCCTTCGTTTCTCTTAGTTCACCTTATCAAGATCAAGTGGCTTGTTCTAGTGATCTTATTTCCTTCATTGATCAAACAGCTTCATCCATTTCTCTTGTTGTGAAACCTAATTAGAACATGATTGTTGATTCAGATCATTTGAAATATAAATCTTCCATTCAACCCTTGATTGAGTGTTTGAACTACTCGATTTTGAAGAAAGCACTGACGCATTTCCAGTATCTTCCTCTATCTACTATGATTTTGGCCTATTCAAATGAAAATTACAACAAGAAGTGTGAAGCGATTAGTTTTTATGTTCAATAGCATCGTACAACAAACTTCTGCAAGTTATTAGAGTTAACTCTTGATGATATAACTCTAGATGTTGATTCAGTTAATCCTGATTTGGTCCCTTCTACAAGTATTATTAGGGCTTATCATCAAATGGGATACAATTCTGACCTATTTGTTCTATCGAACTTCAAGAAATCATGTTTGCCACCTATTTGGAATGCTCTCTTACCATTTTTTTCAAGTGTTTCTCTAAGAGAGCAACCGGTTCTGATAGTACAAGCAATCTTTTACACACTTCGCTCTATGGATTGTTTACTGGTGAAAAGGTTGATTTTGGGCATATTATTTGGATCCAATTTGTGCAAAGTCCTACGTCCAAGTCCAAGGATACTGAAATCTCATGTGCAAGGTTTTGGTCGATCGTAGTGAAGGCTTTGGATCACTACAAAATTCCACAAATGGTGGATGTTGACATGGCTAATATTCAGAAGATAAATACATCTACTTTTGTTACTTCTGATAGCAGGAATTTTCATATTATTGGCTTAATTCCAGAAGTAATGTTGGCACGAGTTCTTATGGATGGTAAGATAATCCAAATCTACAGCGAAATTCCAAAATTTGGAGAAAGAGCTATTCCACCTGCTCTTCAAGCCATTCTTGATGTTGGTGATGCTCCAAAATGGGTTGGAGTAAAAAAGAAAGAAAACTCAGTTGCTGAGGTACAATCTACGAAATCTAAAGCTCCAAAGAAGAGACAAACAAAGAAATTTAAGCCTACTATTTTCAATGAGGAGTCGGATGATACTTTAACCGATGTCCGTATCAATGATGATATTCAGACTGGTGATACTACTACGAACGAGTGTAAGATTCCAAAGCATACACCAGGGCAAGAAGTTCATAATGAAACTCCAAAGGTATCTACTCCCATTCCTACTACTTTTGTTTCTACTTTTGTTGAGAATCAGTCAGAGGAAAATATTTACCAAACTGCTTTGGAAAATCCTATTTTGAACCTATAGCAATCTCAAACACCACAAACACCACCAGTTGTTTCAAACCAAGCTTCCACTTCAACTCCGACCACTACCACTTCCATTCCCACTTCTAAAATTCCTATTTAAACCATATTCCCATTTCTTGAACGTGCCTTTACCAATTTCACCACTCACATTCTGATTTCACAACTTATCCTTGAACCTATTTTCATAGAATCCACTACCACTACATCAATTTTTTCAAGCACCAATCACCTCAACTACTAATATTCCAATTTTTGAAGTTAAGTATGTTAATGTTCAACCCATCACTTCATAACCTATAGCAACAACCGTTCCACCAGTTTCCACATATATTCTAGTGTCGAAACCTATTCTTACTTCTCCATCGATACATGAAGCGTCACCCTCTGGTTCAGATGATGATTTTATGGTTGTTGATGATATAGAAGTTTTAGAACCATATGTTGCAACTCATGTGGCAGCATTTTATGATGAGGATAGTGATGTTGATGCTAAAGCTAATGAGCCATTGACTCGTCATGATTATCGTGTGTTGAACAAGAAGTTGGATTCGTTGCTTAGTCATGCCAGAAGTTTCTTTACTTCCAATTTGCAGAATGTGGTGACTGTGCATCAAGGTGTTATGAAGACTTTACAATCTAGAACTACAAGACTTTTTAGTGAGCAACAACAGCTGATTTTTGATACAACTAAGAAAGTGGATAAATTTGTTTCCGATGTTAATTTGTTATCTGAGAAAGTTGAGAATGCGCTCAAATATGTTCATGATATTGTTGATAAGAAACTTTATGAAGTTGTGAAAACTGTTAAGGAGTTTCACACTCATCTCACAGATGAAAAAGAAGCATTTTTTGCACTTTGTTTTGCTCTTCAGAAGGATAATATGATCACCATACCTCTATATCATACTCTATTCTTGCTTTGCAAATAATTACGAGGGTGAATCTAAGTTGATGGATACTATTATTGCAAAGACACAAAAGATTATGACAATGACACAAGAGTTGAAGAATGTTCATTCAAATCTTGAATAGATAGATGATGAACATTCACGTGTGACAATTCAGAATTTTGAAATTAATCAACATTTGTTTCACATCATTGAAAATAAAGATGATCCTTATGTTGATTACATTTCTCAGCTTCTTGATGCCAAGTTATAACGAATATTCTCATAAATTAGCAAGTTTTCTGGTATTCCGAGTAGTGGGGCTACTTCGCAACAAGGGGGAGGGGTTGATAAAGAAGCTACAATAAATGAAGAAACATGTGAATAAATTCTGAATACTAAGCCAATTAATCTGAAGAATCCCTATGAAGTGTCTAAAATGACCAAGAAACCAGAAAAACTGTTTAATGTTGTTATTAGAAAAGCATCATTGAAGGGAGGAGTGGAAAAGGTTTCTGGAGATACTTAGAAAAAGGTTTAAGAGGATATCCCTCAGAAGGTTAATGTAGATTCTAGCAAGGGAAATGTTAAGATTGTTTCGGATATGGAAGTGGATCCTATAGATGATGAAGCTGCGAAAAAGGCTCAAGCAACAAGATATAAAGAGCTTGATGAGTTAAATGCTCTTAGAATCAAAATTGATCTGCAGGATGCAAAAATGTGAAACAAAGAAGCAACTGAAGTTACGAAAAAGGCATTATGGCCGGATTAGACTACTGAGAGAATACAAGAGGAAGCGATCAAGAAGTAGAATATCTTTTGGCTACAACCGGATACTTCTTTTTTGGTGAGTAATGATGATGATAGCTAGATAGATTTTCTGATGAATGCAAATGATTTCTTATTTCAGTGGTTTAATCAAACTGTGAAATCTTCGATGAATTATGCTTCAGTGAACAAGAAACTATTCAAGTTTTATGCAACTCATTTAAAGCCTCGGTATGATATTTTGACCTTGAAGAGGATATCTGGATTGAAGGTTGGAAAACCATTTAGATCTAATGAGTTTACACTTGTTGTTTTCAAGGCTAGCAGATGTGTTAATCATGGGTTGTTTGATTTTACCCTTGTTGATCTTCCTCTGATGAATCCATACGATTGGATTATTATGTTAAACATTTTTTCCAAAGATCAGGTTAAGTATAAGCTTATTATTCAACACTTGCGAAGAATGGTCAAAACATATATTCAAGAAATATCCAAGATGGATGTGGAGATCACAACTATGTTGAAGAGGGTACCCATTCAGAAGTCATTCCCAAAACCTAAAGTATTGGAAAATCTCAAGGTTGGTTTTATTGAAAATCATACATGCAGAGTGGTCTACGTGGCAAATGAGAATGCTATTTTACGAAACATATATATACCTGATTTTACCCGGTATCGGACACTACATGGCTCAGTTTGAAGTAGCTACACATCTCGTGAATTAATTTTGAGCGCATTTCTGAACCAGGCTTCAACTTAATATTTGATTTTACTATTCTGGTATTTTTATCCCGAACCGAAATCAGATTCGCGGAAACTGACGAATCGGAAATCGGTTGACGGGAAACTTCGAACGTTGTTTCACGAAGATCCGTACATCAGATTTGAAATCCATTTGCGTTTTTAGAACCATTGAACTTAAAAAACTATTATTCGCCAAGTACTCTTTTAATTGATTAATAAAAGAATAATAGAAAATAACAATCAAATAATCATAACAATAAATAAATAAATAAATGAAAATAAAATAAAAGTAACATTTGGACTTTATTGAATAAATCTATTTAACTTGAATAACTATTGTCTAGGGGGCAAACTTGCAATTTCCGAAACTATGTTGGCAAAGATATATTGGATTAGGGTAGATTTCGTTAGGATGCCAAATAGCAAGGACCATTTTTGCCAAACTTATAATGTAAGTCATCTTCCTTATTCATCAGACGCTATATGCGTCTGATTTATTTTCTCATCTTGGTACCTGATGCAATGGCATCTTAGAAAGTATGTTGTCTTAACCCCTACAATGTTATCCATTTGACTATTTGATCGGATCCTTCCATTCTTTTGTCAAAAAGAAATCTTGAATTGGTACCTTGTCTTAACCCCTACGCACATGTAGCCCCTATTTTTTTAAAATTATTTCGGACCGTCCCTATATTTTTTTTTTCAAGCCTAGTCCCTACTGACATGAAATGACTATTTTACCCTTAATAATTTCTTTTCTTCATTTTCTTTTATTTCTTTATCAATTTTAATTTTTTTTAAAAATAAAACAAATATATCCACCTCTGTCCTTCCATTTCCATAACTCTAGATTTTTGCACAGATTACCCACCACTACCTATCACCGCCAACACATTTGGCACCACCATCTTGGTAATTATGGTTATCGTTCACATAATTTCAATCCAATATATCGAACTTAAACTCCATCGGTGCTATCCGAGCTTCAAATCTCATCTAAATGAACTCCAATTCCTAGTCAAACACAAATTGATATAACCCTTTTTATTGTTCTTCCAATTAACAATTTTACATATTCAACAAGATGTATGGCCAGAGCTAGTGTTTTAATGTCGTCCCAATTGAAACCTTTCTTGGAGTTTTCAAAGCTCGTATTTTAGGTACAACCAGAGGCCACACTCTTCTGAAAAATGAACGATGCTCTAACAGTTCAATTTCGAGTTATCCTAAAAAAGTCGTCACAACAAAAGAATCAAAGGGAACCCTAATGAAAGCTTCTTCCTTTGTTCTTCCTTGATCTTAGACCCTATGCGGATATCAATCTGAACATATGTGAAGAAGTAGATTGAATGAACATATGTCGATGGCTTCTTTCTTAATCTAAACCTTGCAACTACCTTCTTTGTTGATCTGAACACATATCGACGGATTCTTCGTCAATCTTGAAACCCTGACCGATGGAGATCAATGGTTGCGCATAGGTGAAGAATGAGATCGACGGCTTCAGGCATCGCTGGGGTAATGTCCCATTTTTCACATCAATTTTTTTTCGTTTTTAATTAAGGTACCACTCCACATATTTAGAATCAAAGTTAAGAAAACCATTGTTCCAAAGTACATTGTTTAAAAATCAAAGTAATATAAAAATGCAAAATCTTCATTGTTGTTGATGAATGTGTACAGTCAAGCCTTCACCTTCCCACGATCACTAATGGCAACTAAAAAACGTAAACAGTTGGGTAAGCATGAAGCTTAGTGAGTTCTCCCAAAATACCACACACCACAATACACATACAATCCATGCACACCGAGCCCACAGTCACAAAGACTACATTGCCCTAGGTATGTTGGCCTGCTACCTGAACCCAACCTCTCTTCGTGAGCCTCCGAGCCTATAGCTTACAGCCAGTCTACACCTGGCATCTTGAGCTACAACACAAAGCTGGAATACCTCAACCTAACCCACCGTAATATGTGGACATATAAACAAATAAGAAATAAAGTAGGCACGTAAGCATAGGTAACTTGAATCTAACTGTCGAATAGTTCACTACCGCCTACTACGCCCCCCATAACATATTGCTTTGCTACTGGCAAAAAACTCCAAGGAACCCATAGCCATATGTAACCAAAGGTGAGATAGAAAAACGAACAGATGATCCTACTGTAGAGCCAAAACCAAACGAGGAACATGCAAGAAAGCCTAGATCAAGAGTTCCCAATGTTAGGATTAAATATCCTTGAATGATCGATAGATTCAAACAGATTAAAGTAAGAACACGAAAATGACTCAAAATATGCTGAATGATTCAAAAGTCACGCCTCAGAAGAACTCGATGAAGAATTGCTACTGTAGAGGCGTGATTAGGGTTACAAAGTAAAATCTGATTTAATTTAAAATAGGATGTAGTGTACAGATGTTTGTCAGGAAGAAAGAAGCAGTTCTTGCGAAAGTTTGCACTAGTTCGTTCCCTAGCTTGATACACCATGAACCATCCATCCTTGTAAATATTCCCTGGCTTCATCTTTTCAAAGTCCTTTGGAGTTTCCTTAGGAAAAAAAAGAAGGCTTCTTTCGTAACACCGCGACTATCTCCACA